GATCATTTCGACGTCAATTTGACGTCGATTCGATGGGTCATTTCTCGCTAAGTACAGACGGCTCCAGCATCACCTTAACCCTATTCACTCCAACGTTTTTTTCGCCCCAATAATCCTCCAACCATGCACTTTCGAGTCCCACGTGTTTTTTATAATGTTAATAGTTTTGAAAACTTCCCCAAAAATTATTATAATATCTTTGTACCTTCGACTAAAAATTAATGTAAAGAACATTTGAAAATCATTTATTTAAATATTTTTTTACAACAATTATATGTTGACAAACACACGTTACGACTCGTTTTACTTAAAAAATCATAACTCACGAACAAATTGACGAAGCTTAATGAACCAAAACGCAAATTAAAGCTAAAAGTAGTGCAAATGAGAAAAAAAATATGAGATAATTATTAATTAAATAGGAATACTTAATTTCGTCGCCGCAAATTTGGTAATTTTTAAATGGTACAGAAGGACTTTAAGGACTTAAAGAATGCTAGAAAAAGAATTTCTGAATAAGAAAAGGCGAATTTGAAGTGTGACAGATATTTTTTATGTAAAAAAATTAATTTTTTTTATATAATCGTAGCTCCTCCCCACCTCTTCCACCTGCCTCTGAGCCATAATAGACCTCTGTGGAATGTTAAATTTCTTTTTTAACGACAAAAATATTTTAAATACGGTTAAATAATACACAAAAATACATTTTTATCGAAAAAAATGCTCATTTACCTTTCACACAACACTGACGTAATCCTCCAACCATGCACTTTCATGTCCCACCGAGATTTTGATTGTTCCCCGTTTCGAGAGTAAATGAGCTAGGACTTTGAAATTTTTACCTGAGGTTCCCTGCCACAATAACTTTTTCCGGCGTGGAAGGGATTCTCCCACGATCATTTGTTTTCCGGAACAAACGACTGTTAGAAATTCGTGGGACACGAAAGGCATGGTTGGAGCGAATAGGGTTAAGGATGTATCACTGGTACATACAATCTTAGACAAAAGTGCATGAAATTTGAAATACTTGAATATCTACGCCTAACGCATAGTAAATCTAGATGTAAGATACTCAAGATAGTAGGAGTCTTATTTTTACTCCTACAAAGGTATTTTTTTACTTTACAAATGTTTTTTCCAGTATTATTTGCAATTTTTGTAATTTATGAGCCTAAACTTTTGGCAGTAAAAATGCCCTGATTTCAACTTTATAACGTCAAATTAATAATAAAATTAATAATTAGTTATTAATTATTAATTAATAATTAATTATTATTAATTATTAATTTATTTCTTTAAAACGGTGTAGTGAAGACAATTGAAACTTGACAGATAGTTTCATCTATTCGTATACTAGATGTACAAAAAAATTCAAAATATTGGTAGCGCTCCTTCAACATTTTTTTAGCTGTTTTATCCGTCAAAATCGTCTCTTCCCATAAAAATACGTGTAAAATCAGTGAAAATTAAAATCGTTATATCTCAGCAACCGTTTAGTGGATTCGTTTCTACTTTTTTTGTAGCACATCAGGAAGACTAAAAGAACATTCTTACAAATTTTTATCCACTTGGTAGCGCTTTGAAAATAGGTGCAATACATCCTTAAGGTAGATGACGTTGTCGTGAGTCAAAATAGAGCACTCGAAAAAAAAATTTTTATTAATGTATTAAAAAATGTATATTTGGTATCACCTTGTTCCGTTCCAATTTCTAGTCTCCAGAAATGTATAATAACACCATGTAATTAATCCCAGATACAGGTAATTAATTAAAAACAAAGTGTCTTACACAGGGGTACCAACTTCACATTTGTCAAAACGACTGTAACAAAAATCTAAAAAATTGGGTGCAATATAGTCATAAGTTTCTCAACCATCATAATAATGATAAAAAATGACTTTCTGGAAGTTTTGGGTCATTAATTCTGATTATTTTGACATTGGCGCCGACAGTGAGGTTAGGTTGTAACCGAACGGTACGTAATCGGGCTACGAAACACACTATTTTGTCCTCTAAGTCATCGGTCGCCACTCGGTTTATCCTGATTCCATCGAGAAGGTAGTATTTATGAGGTTATAGTTAACCAATTTGTTTAAACATTCTCCTTTTCAGGTTTCCGCCACGAATGGATCATCACCGTCGCCTGCCCTCAGATCATCGCCGTCTGCCGCCTACCGAGGTCAACCAAGGACAACGATGGATCACCACCGCTTGTTCAGGCAAGAATGTCTATCACGTGTCACCTTAATTAATTAATCCGCCTTTCTTTTTAGCTTCCCGCCACGGATGCCCGATCTCCAGCGCCTATCCTCGGATCACCGATATCAATCACCAGCCTGAGTCAACGTGAGACCAAGATGGCTGACCACCGTTGATCGGGTAAGTTACAGTACTAACGGTTAATTAACTTAATTAATTCTTCTTATTTTCAGGTTCTCGCTACGGGTGCCTCATCTGCGTCGCCGATCCATGGATCATCGCTGCTGCGCGCCGACCGGGACCACCACATACACAAGATGGCCGACCACCGCTCTCACGGGGTAAGTATAAGTAATGTGGTTAATTAACTTAATCAGTACTGCTCTCTTTCAAATTTCCGCCACGGATGACTCATCTGCATCTCCCACTGTTGAAGCACCGATGATAATCTTCGACCCGGATCGACGCCTTCACGAGATGGCTTACATCCGCTTGATCAGGTAAGTAGAAGGTAAGTAATCGATAACTTCGTTGATATTTTCACAAATGATTGTTCCATTTATTCATATTAATCGTTTCACACAGATGGTTTTTCACAATTATTTGTTCCGCGCAAGATGGCGGTCGCACGTCTCGTCGAGTGCGTAGTTTCCGTTTTCGGTACTATACGACCGTTCGCCTTCGTAATGACGAATTATAACGAATTATGCGGGCGTTCCCGTTTGTTTCGGACGTCGGGGTAATCTAATTTCGTAACTCGTAACACTATCGCGATAATTAACGCAACACGCCGAGATATACGCGCGAGACAGGTGTTACCTCTGCGAGCGCCCACGAGAGACTGCCTCGAGTAATTTTCCTCGCTGTGGCTCCCCACTTTCGATATTTTACCCCCACCACGGCGTCACGGCCGCTTTCTCTTTCTGGAATATTCCACGCGACGCAATAACACCTGGTGTTTACCGAGCGTTCCAGATATTTTCGACGGAAAATTCCACTTGCTTCGCCTTACGGACGACGCACTTTATCGATGCCCGGGTAGTAGTTTTCCACCCTTTACAATTTACGGATTTCTACGGCGCCGACCTGCGCGCACGTCCTCTCCTACGTCCCTATAGAAGATTCCGGACCGACTTCCTGGAGAAGATGTCCAGGTATACTTCGCGGAACCCGCCGTTGACGGCGACCCCCGGTGCTTGCTTCCACGACCCCTACTAACTATATTCTGAACTTTGTTCTCGTGGCCGATGTCCGGGTAACAATTTCGCGGACCGTCCCCGTAACTTCCGTCCGGGTGATCGGATTTCAACCTGTTCCTCGGGTGTACCAGGTCTCGCTCTCGAAGCACCGCGGGTTTTTCCCCGTGGATGACGCCTGGTTCGCTATCTCGTCACCTAGTGCCCAGATCGCGGCGCTCTTCGTCCATCCATAGAAATCACATTGCGTCAACACCCGCGAGGGCCATCGCAATGCTTTATTTTAATTAGACAGTCGGATTCCCCTAGTCCGTGCCAGTTCTGAGCTGAGCGTTGAATGGCGGCCGAAGAGGACGACCACGACGACTCGCGCCGCCACGGAAACTTTGCAGCAAGGAAGATCCCCGGGAGGCCAAGTCACGGGACCGAGCTCGGATCCCCAAGACCGGCGCGAGAACGCCGATCGGTTCACTTCGCCCAGGCCCGGCACGTCAGCCAAACCCGCTTCCCGACCAAGCCCGACACGCCCCGCTCCTCAGAGCCAATCCTTATTCCGAAGTTACGGATCCCCCTATCTTACGACGCTGTGGCGCGGCACAGGTCGTTTTTTGTCGCGCGCCCCGCACGGTTTAGTAATTCGTGTCCGCGCTTCTGTATCTCATCGCTAGGCTCGATCGGCTTCGCAATTTTTCGCGAATTCGTGCCCGGGTGTTCCCAGCCTGAAGATTGTGTGTGGCTCGACGCCTTTTTTAATCCGCGCGGTATCGCGATCCATGCGCAAACAACTAAATTTAATTCTTACGGTCGAGCCGAGCACCAGTGTGCCAAAAAACAAACTAAATGATACGGATCGGCAAAAGAAAAGAGAAGATATTCTATGTCTACATGAGCCGCAGCTCGGCAAGCGTTGTCGCACAACTTAACTCTAACTTATGCTCTATTGCGCCGGACGGATGTGGATCAAAACAAATTGACAATCAACCAAAACTTAAAATTCATCATACTTAATCGCGAGCTTTTAGCCCCATAATAATTTCCGTCCTCGGAACGTTTCACGCTTTTCCTACTCTATTCGGGGACATTCCCCTCGTCCCACGGAGAATCCTGCGCGGATGATGGGCTCCAGAATTTCTCCGAAGAGTCGTCCCGCTCGTCCGGTGTCGCTGCTCGCGGCACCGCCGTCACCGTCACCACCTCCTGGGCATTGATTTTCGTCCGCTGGATCCGCAACTCGCCACCGAACGCCTCTGCCGCCCTACGGAAAGCCTCCAGTGTGCCCCAGTTCCCGGCACCTGCTGTCGGCTGCACCGGTTGGTGCTCCGAGACGCCACCAGCGGCCCGTGGGAATGCGTCCCACGCGCTGCACCCCGCGATTTCTCGGGGTGCCGCGTGCCGCGGTCGCTCGTTGACCCGCTCGCCGCAATTCCTCAACGGAGAGCCGCCGCAGGACCACTCGTGGCTGGTCCACTAGTTGCGCGTGCACCGTCTTAGCGCACGGTTGCAAGGTGCGGTCCGCGCTGTTGCCAGCCGACTGACTGCGTTCGGAAACGTCACCCCGAGCGCACACGAGCACACTCCCCTCTTCTTCTATCTCAGCAAGTTAGAAGGAGAAGGGAGCCCACCCGAGTGACGCTTCCGATGACGCAGCCTAGCCAGAGCTTCTCTGTTAGCTACATTTTGTTTGCTTTAATATTGAATATCTTTTCATTACAATAGTAAACTAACGTTTTTTTTTTAATATTATTTGTATATAATAGTTTAATTGATAAGATCTTCTGTTTTCCAAACCTCAATTTCTTTTTAAAATACTCGTAAAATCTCGTAAATTACGATTGTGCACGTCGTTCACATATAAAACTAATGTAAAACTGATGACCAACTTTTAATGCTTATATATTTCCGTAATTACGTGGTAAAAAATCGTGAATTAATTCCTGATCACGTATAATGCCCTATAGAATAACATAGTTTAATGCCAATCAAAAATCTTAGTTTTTGCTGATGCACCATCTACCTTAAGGCGAATGGTAAGGTTTAAACAGCCAAAAATTGGATAAAATTTAAATGTCGTTTGTGGACAAACAAATAAACATACATCAATTTTCTTTTGAAGCATGTTATTAGTGCTTTCTTAACGAACTAAACGAGACGTAAAAGTCCCAAGAATATAAATAATTAAAGAGATTCTATAGTGAAGAGTGAAGGCCGAACTTCCTTGATGTCGATAATGTCAACATTTTTTTTTTAATTCCGTTATAATTTGTTTTCTATGTTACCGGCCTAGAGAGCCTCTTTAGAGGCTCTCTTGGCATTTCTATTAGAAAGCATAGACAAAAACGTGACCCAAGTGAAGCCAAGAAAACCAATATGGCGTCAGCACGAGAACCAATGAGGAGACGTTTTGCACATATGTGTGCAATATGTGTGCATGCTGCATGCGCAAAAAGCTCCCTTATGTCAACGCCATGTTGATTTTTGCGTTCATTTAGATTACGTTCTCCCCACGCAATTGCCCAGACTACGGTCTAAGGCTCCCAGATAGCCGATGCTTTTAGCAGGCTTTGCAAACTGTGTGCTGCAAGCTATACTGGCATAATTTTAGCAGTAACAAAGCATGATCTGTCGTATCAGATAATGTGCGTAGAAATGAAATAGAACTCTAGCAAAATCTGACGTCATAATAATATGATACCAGAAATAATGCAAAATAAATGAAACAGAATATGTCAGCATAGGAACAGTAAAATTTAAGTATTGCGTGTTGATATAATATGTCGATAAAAAGCAGACTAAAATCAAGTATATAGAATAACATCAGGTCGTACAGGCAGACAATTGTCAGAAGTTGAGCATATTAGAGAGCTTACTGTGATGGCAGAAATGGAGCAGAAATCGAGCATGCCCTGCCATCTCAGACAGTAACAGCTTAAATGCAGCAGAAGTGTCGCATGCATTCTAACGTCAGAAAATAATAATAGAACCATCCTTATAAGCACACAATGTTTCTAGAATATTGTAATAATATTATTATGATATTCCGAGAATATTAATATTTTCTAGTATTATAGGATTATTCTATTGATGTTATATGTTGTTCGGGCGTCGCTTTACGACGGTCGCCCTGAATCTGGATTCCGCTCAGAGTTGAGCGAGAAGCGTGGATAACGCGAGTCGTAAATTCGCGGGAGGAATGAGGATTAAAGCACTCGTAACACAGATTGCACAAAGAAATATATAGTCTTTATTTCAAGAACGGGAAGGACGCGAGGGGGAACAACGGATCGTGCGCCGCGGATTCGGAAATCTTCTGAGTCGTTCGTACTTTTCTGCCAGATATCGCGAACGGAAATCTTGTCTCAGCTTCTCGCATCGAAGCCTCTCGCGTAGCGGAGATCTTGTACGCGTCGAACGGAAATCTTGAACGCGTGGCAGACGAACGATCGCGAGCGGAGCACGACCGGAAGTTTTTCGGACCCCTCGCTAAGTAGCACACTTAAATTATAAATAACTTTGATCCGCACGTTAAGACGAAACGAACGAGTAGCGATTCACGCAGCGATTTAAGAGGGAGAGAGCCGTGCTGTCTTTAGACGAGGATTGATACGCGACGATTTTTGGTTATGAGTTCTAGCTCACGACTTGAGGCTAGGAATCCTCAGCAACGACTGACTGTCCGGCGAGCGACTTCGTCGTTTACTCACGAGGGTTGTTTTTCAGGAACGAACGCGCGATGAGAGCTGAATCGCGATTCGTCCGTATGGTCACATCACGCGTCAGAACAGCCGTTTCCGTGCTCCGACAAATAAGGGAGCACTCTCGTAACGCGTGATCGCGATCGATGGGCTTCGAGGGCGCGGGGATCGCGGGGAACGTATATTTCGCACAAGTTCGACAGAGCTTGAACAACATAAACATCGGTATTTCTCGATGTTAAATATAATAATGTTTTCGAGCCGATGTTTCGCGTAGAAAAGTTCGACGGATCTCGAACATATGTCCACTTCACATAATATCCTTTAGTATATTATTTTAATATCAGTGGAACATATTATAAAAAAGTTCTTAGAATATTATTCTGGTCAACAAATTAACGTTCATATAATATTCCTTGGGGGGGGGGGCCTGTAACCCCCTAAGGGCGCGTCCCCCGGGTGGCGGATGGGGGAGTGCTTATCAAGCTTGCTTGATGGGTAGTAGCGAAATAAAATAGCTCCCGTGGATCAACAGGTACTCGCCAACATGTCTGGAAAGCGTGGCGTTTTAATTGCCAAAAACCTTTCAAAATGAAATATCAAACTTAAAAACAATATTACTTCAGGCGAGTAGAGATTGACGCTCAAAATCTCGCACTGACAATTTGCCTCACGGATTCTGGGGGAGGCAAAAGCTCGACTAAAGGACAAGAATTGTCCAAAACAAGACACAGAAGAAACAAGAAAACAGTCCACACATAGCATCATATAATATCCGCACAATGAGGTCCGAAGAACACCTGATAAACCTTGAGAAAGAACTGCAGAACATTAAGTGGGACGTACTAGAGATCAGCGAGATGAGGCTCAGCGGTGAAGCAGTCACTATCCTAAAATCAGAACATCTGTTGTTCCAGAGGAACTCCAACGAAAATTCACACATCGGTGGCGTGGCTTTCATGATCCACAAGAGGATGATGAAACACTTCATTACCAAGACAAAAGCGATCTCGGACAGAGTCATTTATATAACGCTTAAGATCAACATGCAGATAATACAAGCATATACACCCACTTCTGCCTCGACAGACGAGGAAAATGAGACGCTCTATGAAGATCTGACGGCCGCAAAGAATACAGAGAAGGCCAAGTTCATCATCATAATTGGCGACTTCAATGCCAGGGTTGGAGCAAGAGCTGCAACAAATCTGTCGTATGTCGGCGCCTTTGGCTTGGGTGAGCGATACCGGAGAGGGCAAGCGATGGTTGACTTTCTCAGTAAGGAGAAAATATACTGCCTAAACACCTTCTTCAAAAAACATCACAAGAGAAAGTGGACCTGGAGGAGCCGAGAAAATACAGTGAAAAACGAAATAGATTACGTTTTGGCAACAGACAAACGTATGTGTACGGACGTCTCGGTTCTGAATCGATTTGACATTGGCAGTGACCACAGGTTGGTGAGGGCAAAGCTCCAAATAGACATTCGGCTGGAGAGAATTAAGGCGCCTGATAGCTAAAAAAATCCAACCCACAATACACGAGATAAAGGGGAAAAAAAAGAACAACTAGATCGATAAAAAACTACGACCAACTGAGGAGCTATAGGGCCTAGAGTTAAATGCGTTATCGACAAAAATCACGAACAGCATCCGGACCGATGTAGAAATTGAGAAACCAGAGAAAAGTTAGTTCAGAAACCGACAGGCTGATCGAAGAGAGAAAAAAAAACAGTCCGCGTCTACATAACAATCAAGAATCTCTCTATTGTCATTTTTCTTATAGATTAACTCCAAATCTTTCGTTAAAAATATAGATATTTTAACACTCTTAACTAAATAGTTAACGCTAAAACTTATGTCGGGCCTAGTCCTGAACTGATATATAAAAGTGCTCCAATTATATTTCTAAATTGTATATCATTAGATATAACGTTTGCTCGCTCCAATTTTAAATTGGTTTCCAATGTTTCCATCGGTGTATTATATAATTTTGAATTTTTGATTTGGTATTTTCTAGCTAGTGATTCAATATAAGATTTCTGATTTAGAGTCATAACATTTCTTTCATAATCATATTCAATGGCTAGGTTTACACCCTGAATTTAGGCCGCGGCCTATACCTCAAATTCGACCTAAATTATTTAGGCCGCCTGCTGTAAACATTTGATAGGCGGCCGAAACTAGCTTCAGGTCAGACTTTAGGTCGAATTCGAGGTACAGGCCGCGGCCTAATTTCAGGGTGTAAACGTAGCCAATGAGCACGGGTACACCGGGACATTTAAGCCGCGGCCTATACCTCAAATTCAACCTAAAGTCTGATCTGAAGCTAGTTTCGGTCTATCAAATGTTTACAGCAGGCGGCCTAAATAATTTAGGTCGAATTTGAGGTATAGGCACAGTATATACAGTAGCGCAACTCTCTGTCGGCGCCTTTGAAGTTAGTGTTGTCCAAAATGGAGTGCGCATGCGCGAAATAAGTAAACGCCCACTAATACCAATTGAACGGCCACGTACAGCAGACACAACTATTGAGTATCGTCTTATCGACACGCTACGCTGATTCGTTGGGTCTAAAAGTATAA